AATGGAGGAAAATAACAGTCTGCAGTAACGGGCCTTTTTATCAGGCGAGCCGAAATGCTTGATACTTAAGGGCAGAATGCAAAAGAAAAAAGAACCTGCACATCTGCAAATTGCTAGTTCTACCTTCCCATCCTGCCCCATAAACTCAGAAAGTACGGCCGCGGGAAGCTTAGTGGCCTCCGCTGTTTCACGAGCGAGACATGATAGCTCTTGAGTTGCAATTTAATAAGAAATACAGAACTAGAGGTTAAATCATCAATCCTCAGCTCAAGCTGTTACGGACCCCAATATATGCACTATTAAGTTTCACATTAGCACAAATGTAGCTATAACAATTTTCAAATAATACATTCACTCTTTATCAGGCTTGTAAAATTATAACAATATCTATATACATTTGGAACAACGTGATTTGAACTGCACAATTTAGCTCAATCACAGCTAATTAATATAGAGGTGAGTGAAATGAAATGAAAGTGAAATGAAAAAGATGAATGTTTTGACGTTCCTTGCATTGGTTTCCAATAAAGCACAAATGGTCAGTTTTGTGGACGTATGAAAGCCGTGATGCGTACATCACTAGGGTGACAGCGTCCATGCAGGGACTGAACACATTGTCCTTCGGGCAGGATCAGGAACAGCTGCAGGCCGGCTAGCTTAACGTCAGATCGTTCAGGAGGATGTTTCAGACCCTGAGTAATGAGATGCTGTGACACGAGCCTGGCAGCGTATGGCCAGGAAATCTCCCAAATACATAGAATGAAAAACTAAAAATAAAATGAAATGCAACTAATCATTCCTCTAAGACCCATGATTACGGTCAACCCAGTTCAACATAGCAAAAATGCACATAAACCACTGAACGGGGCCTGTATGTTGCAGACATCTGTAAAATTACTAAGAAGGGAAAAAAAGGCATTTATTATTCATATTCATACTAAATGTGACTAAACTGATCTTTGGAGAATTTGGTATGAAAGAAAAAAAAAATATCAAAAATGAAAAAGAAACAACTACCAAATCAATCCATCCATCCATCCATCATCGCGGGGGATCCGTAGCCTATTCCGGAGGATGCAACCCAGGATGGGGCGCAGAAACGACCAAATCTCCCTAAAAATGGTTTTAAAAAAAGTTTTAGTGTAATGCCAGCGGGAGAGACAGCGAGCAGCACTGAAAGTGTCCCATCATTGTCATTATGGGAGAATCAAGCTCTCTGTACTTCACCTCAAAGGAAGATTTTGAATTCGTATGCTGTGTCCAAAAAGACTAATCAGGGCCCAAATCCCACTGGTTAACCAAAGCGTTCAGTGGCATTCAGAAAAGGCATTTAGTTATTCCTTGTGAAACAATAAACTTTATATGAGGAGACAGATATTAACAGGCACCAGAGGAGTTTTAAGTAAACTGTACATTTCTGTATCTTTGTTCAGTCAATTTAAGTTTTTGTAAAGAGCCTTAGGTGTCATTAATTAAACATTCAGCCTTTTTCCATAAACTGCTCACTCACTGCAGGCTTGCAGTAGATAATCTGGCACAAAGCAATTCTCAACAGCGATCCTCAACCCGTGGGTCAAGGTCCACATTGCGAAACTAGTGAACCAATCCAAGAAGCCAAACTATAAATGCTTACTTTAAAATTCACTGTCAGGTCCAATCAGATTTGTGCGATAGGCACTGATCGACACAAATTGCTTGGTCATAGTGCATTGGGTTGCGACTGAGCTGGTTGTGGTAAAAAAAAAAATAGGGTTGTGGTGCGAAAAGGTTGAAAATCACTTTATTTAGGGAGACTGCTCACTCCACCTCAACTAGAGGAAAGGCAATATCCAGAACGCACAATTCTTACAGAAAACGGTGCAATAGCCATAAAAGACCATTTGCATTGTTTTCACTAATTTGGTAAGAAGTCATTGCTCAAAATGGTCCCATTAAAGGCAGGGCACTAGTTACTCATCATGCATTCTGCATGGCCATATACGTACAGGCCTCACAGAGATACCACAGCGGTAAAACAACCGGGGAAACATCAAATGAGCTTCTGATTGGCCGAAGAAAGGGAGTCATCCCAGGATTTCCCGACACCAAATAAGACAATCACAGCGGGTCAGGATAACACAGCGACACCTATGGCAACGGGAGCGGGCAGGTCAGGGGTCACACACTGTCTGGGAAATGCGGCAGGGGGTGTGTGAGAAGAGCACGAACACTGGAATGGTTCATCAGAGAAGTATAAGATTCTCCCAGCTATCAGGAAATCTTGGCTGTTCTTTGACATTTGCTGTTTTAGCTTGTTTGATTTGTGCCCGGATGGGAGTGAGGCAGGACCGATGGAGAGAAGCGTGGCTTTATTTTAACCGCACGCCCCTCCTCACCAATCGGCATCCATCTAATCAACACTCCTAAGTGTTATATTTTACTAATCAAGATAATCAAAGCTACTCAATCTATTCAACATCCTTTGATACTCCAGTAAAATGTCATCTGGATCCGGAAAAGGCCGGCGGCTCACAATGGTCTAATGTCGCCCCTTTGTTAGGTTTTTTCAGATGCACACGGCCCCCGGCCTGTCACACAAAACACAGTATAAATGGATCCCGACAGAACAATATTGCCGGATCCTCAGACCCCTTCTGAGCTGCAGTGTTTTCATAACACGCTCATCCAGATGACAGATGGAAGTACCCTCCCGCCCATCAACGCCGGCTACGCCAGATGTGCATTTCAGGGACTGCCCCAAATATAACCCCCATTTCTGACTCTGGTCCAGTGTTATCCAGATGCCTGCAGCAGAAAATTCCAAAGCCAAAGCCAGCTCGCTTTCATTATTTCTAAACACATTATTTCTAAAGCACATATAAATAGACACAATAAAACAAGTCTGTATTAGTAGTGCAGAACTCCTCCTTGTTCTTACCACTCATCTCATCAGAGAAGCACAAACTGCAAATTAACCTTCCAATGGCCCATTTTCAGAGCACTCCCCAGGGCACGTGATTCAGGACCTCCTACGACAGCCTGTTCAGCACACGCAGGCCTAAAAGCACGTCTGGCACTGCAGGATTCAGAGAGCGAGACTGCAGATCCCCTCGACCGAACGATGGCCAAACCAGATCTAACCTCGTCTACAGTCCTGTTACGGTGGGAGCCTGAACTGTAACGCAGAGCCAGAGCCAACACAATTACGTAAGAAAAGCCCCTTTTTCCCGACCCCCCGCCATCTACCACAGCTGACATAACGATTTCCAAATATAAAACCCATTCTTAAAAAGTTCTTTTGATCAAAAATAAACAAAAAAAAAAAGCTCTGATTCACATTGCACTTTATGTTATATAACCCTCAAGTCCTGCAGGACCATCGCCCTTCACAACACCCACAGGTTTGAATCCAGTTTACTCCTGCCAGGAATGCTTGTACAGGCAGAATGAGATGAGTACTTAGCCCATCAACACTTCTACCGCTTGGAGAAATGTGTATAAAACTTTATAGAACCATCGCTCCAATATGACAGCCAGATCCTGAACTTAGGTAGTACGAATTTCTTAATTCAACAAAGAATGTGCAGTTTCCACTGCCCAGGTATGGTGTGGTGTGGTGTGGTATGGTATGGTATGGTATGGTATGGTGTGGTATGCTGTGGTATGCTGTGGTATGGTTTGGTATGCTGTGGTGTGGTGTGGTATGGTATGCTGTGGTGTGGTGTGGTGTGGTATGGTATGCTGTGGTGTGGTGTGGTGTGGTATGGTATGGTATGCTGTGGTGTGGTATGGTATGCTGTGGTGTGGTATGGTATGGTATGTTGTGGTGTGGTATGGTATGGTGTACCCCTTCACCACCATCGTTACAGTGTGGTGAGTGTCCTGGTGCAGAATGGCTGCTGTCACATCATCCAGGTGGGGGGTACACAGTGGGGGTGGTTGAAGTGGCTCCCCATTGCTTCTGTGAAGTGCTCTGGGTGTCTTCAAAAGTGCTATATTAACATTCATTCATTCATTCATTCATTTACAGTATATAAATGCCAGACAACACTTTACACCTTACATTCAGTATAATTTCTGTACTCCAGTCTTGCAGAAGGTCCAAAATCAGTTTTTTTAGTGATAGAATCCTTTTGTGGTGGTTGATATATATGGCTTGTTATTTACATAAAAAAAAAAGAAATGCATTTTATGGATGAATCAGAAAGCAAAAAACATGAGAAGAATCATCTGGGGGGGGGGGGGGAGATGGAGCCCAAGCGATTATTGACATTCATGGCTTAACAATCCTGTGACTTTTATTGACACAATAATTACCCATATACCTATTCTCTATATTTTCAACATAAATTTGACTTACAAACTCTTTGAATAATATCTGCAACGTTGCTTTCTGCTCGGAAAAGCACACCATACAGGCTGCTTCAATTAAAACCCACTCAATTAAAAAGATGAAATATGATAGACGTTTATTATCGGTAAGCAGTCAACAGGAATGAAGAGACAGTGGAGGACACATTTGCAATAATTAACATATCTGATAGTCTGTTAGAACAAGATTTCGTGCGTCTCATGTAAACTTGCAAATATAAGCCTATATCACAAGAGCAATAATGCATGTAACAAATTGGCTGGAAACAAAGGATAGGCCCTTTTCATGAAAAGGCCACAGATAACATTTCCTAAGCTCTGCTGCCTGTTTACCTGCTCAGGGGACTTTTATCAGGCAGTGGCAGCACATTTCTCGCTATACCTGCCTGCAGTTATGATTCATTAACACCATAGCAACCGCAGAGCAACAGAGGCAGAGGTCGGCGCCTAAATGTACCCCTGCAGAGTCAACGAGAGGCGCGGCTGCCAGCCTGCGATCGCTCAGGCGCCGAGCCAAACGGCCTGTCGCCAGTCACTCCTAATGGTTCACGCGTGACCATAACCAGTAGGCCAGTTTCGAGCCCCTATAACCTCGGATTCTTTGAAAACAAAACCAACGTTGAACTGAAACCGAGGCATCTGAGAATCTTCTAGTTTCTCTGTCCCAGTAGATGAAGGACCAGCTCCTCGTCCTCGGCCAGGGAGAGGCCAGTGTCCAGGGTCTCCAGCTTGTTCCCGTCCCGCCGTCTGGTTCTCTTCCTGAGCGCTGGGGCCTCCTCTTCATCCGATTCACTGGAGCTGTCAGCAGGGCGGCTCCTCTTCCTCACTCCATCGCTGGAGGAAACACTGTAACGCATCACAAAGACAGAAACTTGGTCATACATCCATGAGGTGAGACGGCCCCCTGGAAATGAAGTAAATGCAAACTGAGCTCCAGGGGCCTGAATCACGAAGTAGGATTTCATGCTTAGCCGAATAACTTCTTGGATTTAGTGTAAGCAAACAAAAATAAAGTCCATTTAAATGGAGCTCTCTTAAATCTGGCTAAGCAAGAAGCCCTGCTTTGTGACACAGGACCCAGTACTTCCTGCTGAAGACTAACCAGGAACCTTTACAATCAACCCGACTTACTGAACCAGGTTTAGTTTAATATAGACTGAGGTGGAAAGTTCAGGTTCTGAAAGTACAAATCCAGACTAAGATTTTGTTTCAACCAAGCAGTTGAGTATTCTTTGTTTGTGACCCTTTATACTCGACTGGTTGGTTGAAACAAAATTTTGGCCTGGATTTGTACTTTCTGGACCTGAACTTTACACCTCTGCCCCTGAGCTATATACGCTTCTTAACTGACCGCACCTGAGCAGAGCGACACAGGGACAAAGCTTCATACGCGAAAGCCTTTTGACAGCCTGAGAGTTACAGCCTTGCTGTCCATGTTTCAAAAGGTACTGAGGTCACCCCACACGGTCACATGACGACGAGTCTCCAATCCACGTCGTCTCCGTGCAGCTGTAAGGCGCGGTGCTCCTCGGGGCCGGCCCCAGATGACCGTGACCCTATTATTTACACGTGGCTACTAAAAATATAACGATTTAACGGAACCTAGAAGGACACCGGCGTGAGAAAAGGACACAAGAGCCGCTAACTTTTCCCGGATGCATTTAAGGACGAGATGAAAGGACGGCAGTGTCAGTGCCTGGAAAGTTCACAGAAACTTCAGAGAAAAGAATGTTTTTGAACTTCACATTTATTGTTACATAACCGTCTCATTTCACCAATTCAGAGCCACCTCACTGTGACTCACTTGGTGTGTTAGCGTTTCACACAGCCGACCTTTTCCTGTAATTACGTCCATGGCGGCAGGTAAAATAAGCGTATGTGAAGTATACCTTTCTATGTCATTAATCACGATCACAGGACGCCCACATCCCTCTCTCTGAAAGTCTGTTACGGACCACACGCCACACAAAGCCCGGTAAGAAGGGGGGTTGTTACGCTGAGGGTGGGGTTAAATTAGCGGTGACTGTTCCGTTACCTTCGGCTGTGATGTATTTTAACGACAGAGAAAGCCCCTTAATGTCATCAAAGACAAAATACACGTAACTGGGAAGAATCACTGCAAACACGAAAAGCAACTTTATTTATATTCATACCTCTGTCTCTACCAGTGTTGCTGGAACAAAGAAAAATGGCGGCCGGTTTAAAGTCCGACAGCAATCCTCTGATTAACTGGACCGCATTTCAGAATTCCAGCACGTTAAGGTTTGGGTTCTCCTCCCAGAGGTATTTAAGGATGGCTTAATAGGTCATCAGTATGACTGCAAATAAATGCTTTATATACGCACACGCACTCACACAGAGACATCTTCTAAATTAAAACCATCCTTTTACTTTAAGACAGACTTGCCAGACTTACAGAACTAAAACAAAACAGGAAAAAAATTAAAGTACAGACACACAGGCACCACACGGCCACCTAAAAGCTCCCAAGGTGGGTGACAAACAATGGGCCACATTCTCTCTTCCACACGGGGGGGCGGGCTCCCCACTTTGATGCTACAAAAATACAAAGCTGCGATTTTTGAAAAATTGCTTTCCTACATACAGACCCATCACCTACACATTTTGAGATCTGTTCAACATCCATCCATCCATCCATCCATCGCCTGTAGCTTCATACCGCTAAGGACTTATCTACACAGAGAGGTAATCAGGCAGTGTTTAGGATGAACCCAAGACCAAATCAGTGTTGTGTGACATCGACTGCTGCAGGCCGCAGTTGTCCAATGAGCACAGGACCAACTCTGACTCTACTAGACTCAAACTCTCAGTAATCTCACAGAGTATCTGGGAGCGTTTGTTAATGCCTGTTTCCGTGGCAATGGCTCCGGGGGAAGCCGTTAGGCGGCTCTGCCCATCATTTCCATAAATACTTTAATCCATCTCCACAGCAAAAGCGCAACACTGATTAAAACCACAGCACAGAAAGGAATGTCATTTATTGCCGTTCACTCACTGTGGCCAACAGGAAGCCGGAATGAAAGTAAACAAATACCTTAAAGCATTAAATTCCTACAAAGGTAATGATTGATATTGTTTACGCCGATTGCTTAACAAGAGGGATTTTACGAGTTCTGTATCAGCTGAAGCACATTTTTATCTTTGTGGGCCATTTGTCCTGCAGCTGATATCACAAAAGAACAGTTAATTCTGAGCCTCCAGAGCCCAGGGAGAGTAGATTAATTTCAGGATCACACTGCTAAGACCATCACACCAAAAAGCATCTTGGACAGAAGGCTACGGACACTTGCTATGCATATTGCTCTAAACCAACCCCCATCTTGCCTCTCAGGATGCACTCGAACTGTCCAGAAATCACACGAGGCCTGAATGAAAATGCATTACTTGGAAGTTCCTACCACTCCATAGCCAGGCCATTATCCATATTACAGTCTGTCTGCATATCACTTGCAGACACTGACTAAAAGCTTCTCTGCCAAAATAATGAGGAATGCTAAATGATACTATTTAGGATTCGTACTCGTTTGAGGTACTGGAAACACATGGACAAATACAGCCATGGAAAAAATTAAGAGATGACAACCCTTTTTTAACAACCCTGCATCTTCATAAGAACGCAAGAAATTTACAAACGAGAGGAGGCCATTCAAGCTCGTTTGGGGAGAACTTAACTAACAGATCAGCGTTGTTAAAATCTTATCTAGCTCTGATTTAAAGGAACCCAGGGTTCCGCTACACTAGCAGGAAGACTATTCCATACTCTAACTACACGCTGTGTAAAGAAGTGCTTCCTCAAATTTGTTTTAAAATGTTCTCCTGCTAATTTCCACTTATGGCCACGAGTTCTAGTATTTAAACTAATATTGAAATAACCATTTGGCTGAACAGCATCCAGACCCGTTAGAATCTTATAGACCAGGATCATGTCCCCCACCTTCATCTCCTTTGCTCGAGGCTAAACAGATTCAGCTCAGCTAACCTCTCCTCATAAGACACTCCTCTAAGACCAGGAATCATTCTCATAGCCCTCCGTTGCACCTTTTCTAAGGCAGCAATGTCCTTCTTAAGGTATGGTGACCAAACCTGCACACAATATTCTAGGTGAGGTCTTACAGAGGAATTATATAATCGTAGCATCACCTCCCTTGACTTAAACTCCACACACTTAGAGATGTAACCCAACATCCTATTGGCCTTTTTTATTGCTTCCCCACACTGGCGAGAGTGGGACATGGAAGCATCAACATACACACTGAGGTCTTTCTCATAATCAGCTACCTATATTTTAGTGGACCTGGCTGGCTTCAAATCCTGGTTTAATCGTGGTTCTGCTGGCAGAGGCTACGCTGAGCAGCAGGCTGCTCCCAGGCTCAGAGTGTCTAAGACAGCAGCTCACAAGAACAAAGTGAAGCAGGAGACACTGGGAACGACCAGAAACCAGCCAGGTACAGGGCAGAAGTGACTCTCTATATGAAATTTACAGACGTACACCCATAACCTGAAAATTGAGTGAAACAGAAATTGTGCTGTGGTCTCTTAAATTTTTTTTTTTCACACCTGTAGATAAGTGCCTATGTAGTAAGTGATCAGCTTGGGGTGTGGTCCACAGGAGGAGGAACCTAGCCCGGGGGCAGGGGTGGTTCTGGGCGGTTTTGCCCCGCCCCCCCGTTCACAGCGAGTGATGCGGTACAATAAAACAATTCTGTCAGACAGGTGTATCTGTGCGTGGTTAGATCAATCGGAGGGAAAGTGCTGTTGAGAGGCAAATAGATTTTTCTTTATCTTTGTTCATTTGGTCTTAGTGATGCGGGTCATTTAAAAACTTTAGAAAAATATGTAGTTGAGTCTGGAGTGTGATTTTGTCACCAAGTGCATTGTTATGGCACCGGCCCACCTGACTTTCTCGCAGATGTGGCCCCTGCCAATGTCACAGTCGCCTTTGTTCCTCGTAAAGTTCAACAGGCGTCATCAGGGAAGTGCATCCCAAACTAACCTCAACCACCCTGTCCCCCCCCCCCACTCCGACTACACCAAAATCTGTCTGCCAATCAAATTAACAGGCACCCAGGCATATTTTTATACATGACTCTACATATGATGGGGTGCTGATTAGCTACCGAACAAAACACACCTTCTTTCAATATATTTAGCATCTTTAAATGGTGTTAATTTTGGGAATTACCTGAGAATTGAATAAAGGTGATAAGAAGGAACTAAAGTTGGAAAAAATAAACAAGCTCCAAGCCCACATAAGGCTGTTAAAGCAACAAGAAAATATTCTTTTGCTTTTTGAACACTTTGAGATTTTCTTAAGAAAACTTTCTTAACCAAAACGCGTATCAGAGCCAACTCTCTGAATTGTTGCTATATTCCATTTCCACAAAACCCAAGCATCGTCAAATAATGCACGACCTAAAAAAAAGAAAATAATACAGAGATACCATGCAGATATCACCATGCTGCAGCACAATCTGGTAATATTACTTCAGCACAGAGACTAAGAGATGCAGGTGAGAAAAAGGAAGTCAGCAAAGCTCTTCTAGATCTGCAGAAATTACATCACTACAGAACACATTCAAACCACGTGCGGTCTGATACACTGCAATATAGTTCTGAGAAATGATGGGGGAAAAGGGGAGACAGATTTGAGGTAAAAATTTAAATCAGTGTGATACCAATTGGCGATAATGAGCCGAGACAAAGATTTGATATGACTGAAGATTCTGCTTTGCAGTCTGCGAAGATGAGAGACACCGTCAGAGAGAACCGCAGTACTGATCTGACATGTGACTTTGGGATACTGCAATATCCTTTTGAAACATCCAACCTTTGTCCTCCTCTGTCCAGGGGTCTGCAGATGTTGCCCTGTCCCAGCAGAAATGGCCCAGCCGAATGCTCCCTCCTTTTACCTGAATGCTCTTAGCTTTGCGTGTCGTCTGCTGGTTTGAACAGCCGTCTCATGAGCTTCTTACTCTGTTGTGTGGCTCTTGCTCCAGTTCCGCTTGCACTTGCACCTGGGCATTCACTGGAAGCTCAGGCGAGGTGCACTTCTGCCTAGTCGGCTCCTAGAAAGCTGTATGTTCGTAATGTGCTATTTCACTTCTGTATCATTCTGGACTAAAGTGTCTGCTAATATCTTCTCCCATGATAAGCGACCGACGGCCTTGAACACCAGATTCAAAGTGTAGTAATATAATATTTGATTCCGCTTCACAGACAAGGAGACACTGGCTCTGTTTACACTTGTTACGCCTTGACTGAGCGGATCATATGCGGACAGCTGAGACACGTCGTCGTTTACATGCCGTGTCGATCATGTGTCTCTAAGACAGACGTCAGCCGACCACTTGTGTTCAGATTTCATTATTGCCGCACGCACAGGTATTCTGACGTCCTTGTCGGGGACGCAAACAGGACATATTAGCTTTTACACTACAAAACATAAATGGTCAAATGCTTCCCAGACCACCTCAGCAAGTTGTGTGAGTGATTGGATGGTGATGCGTCTTGGTTTACACTTGTATTTAGTGCTGTATACTTGCAATCTGATTGGCCAAAATGCATTTTAAAAGTGTGAACAACTTCAATAACACAACAAAGGACACAAGCAGCAATCAAAAAAGCAACATGAAAAATCTAAATGCATATTTCCTGTGCGATGACTCCATTTGCCTTCATACTCCTGTTCTGCTGCACTGTGATTTCCCTGCCATGGGGCACGCATTTCACGTGTCTTAATTTCATTAATTAGTTCAGCTGTGACTGCAGCAGCATCTACCATTCTGACTGACAGCTGAAGATCATCATTTTCTTAAAGACATCAAAGAATATTAGCAGCACATTAAGCTTCACGGGAGAATACAGCACCATTATTTCAAAGCAGATATCTGGTTATGTTAAAGCCGTAGCGAAATGGATTTCCGAAGACAAATATCACATCAGCTAGTTAGAGGGATTACAGCGGGAAGTCATGATGAAAAAAAACAGAAAGATGAGTGATACAAGCTCTACAAATGCAACCATAAGGACAATTTGTCCTTAATAGAATAGCACTTTTCAGAAAGTGGTTCAAAATGGGTTAAATTCACTTATACCACAACTTTGGTAAATACAGACACTCCTCTACTTACGAACTTTCAGACATACGAACGAAGAGGACTGTAAGTCCAAATTGTGTTCATTGGGCTCCCGTTTCCTGTCCGCAACATCATTTTGTCTGTGCGCCAATTCCGCCTAGTACGACTTCTGCCCGCTACTCCCGCCGCGCAGCAGCATAGCATGCGTACTCCCAGCATCCTAGTTCTTTGTACTTGGTTATACCCTTAAAATGATGTTGAATAACGACTTACGAACATTTCAAGTCATGAACGGCCGTTCGGAACGTATCTCATTTGTAAATAGAGGAGCGTCTGTACTTTTTTCTTATTGGACTAGAGAGGTCACGTGGGTGCTGATTACTTCCTTGTAACCACATAGGTCGGGCTGGCAGCCTAACAGTTATATATTAATACATTTTAATGTTTTATTAAACATTAATACATATAAAAACCTGTGTGACTTTTTACTCAGAACTAAGCAGTCACTCGTATCAGCATGATTTTCTAAATGCAAGCGCATGTCTGTTGACGATTTCTATGGTAACTTAATGGATTTGCTCCCAGTGAGTGTCCTGAACTGGCGTTCCATCCTTACAGGAATTATACTTTTAAGAGCGCATTGGAACATTATTAAATGTTGACTGAAATCATTTTCTTCTGAAAAATGGACTAGTTCATTATTTTTTTTCTGTTTGTTAGCTGTGGTAATAGCGGAATAAAGCACTTTGAGGTGTGTGGTTATATGAAGATAATCAACTCCTAGATGATTTTCGTATAACCGCAAACCTCAAAGTGGTTTATCCGTTAAACATTAAATAAGATGTGTCATTACAAAAATGCCATATTATTACAACAAGCGTTCTGTCCTCAATGTAACTGATGTACATGTTACTCATTGCTGTGAAATCTTCCAGTCCATTTATAAAAACGTAGTTATGCCGTATTTGCTTATAATAATTAAAAAGCAAGCCGTTGCTCAATATATGCAAATCGGTTTGCAGATAACATTTCCTGAACTGCGATTAATGTTATGACCTTAATAACCAGAGCAGCGATGGTCCCTCATGCCGGCTCGAGACGTCACTCCCGCAGAATGATTATCAGTCGCGCCATCGTGAATGGAGGTGCTCAATGCATGGCTGCCCCCTGCCCCCCCCCCCGAGAGCAAAAGCGGCGGCAGGAAATGAGGCGAAGGGTTTGGCCCCCGAAGGCAGGGGGATGTTTATCTTACACACTTTTCATCGATGTAGACTGGAGAAGCACATCCCAGCCAAAACTGCGATAACTGCGATATGAAGGAACTGCTTTACGCTTGTTTGCCAGGTGATTGGCTGAAGCAGAAACCCGATACGATGGTGACAGCAGAACCTCAGGGCACCAGGAGAAGTCCCAAGAGTCTGGCAGCCAAAAGATAGCTTTATAACGCATGTCTGTTGGAGGGGGTACGCACCCTTTCATTAATTGCTTTTAATGCCTGAATTTGAGCAGAAAGATATTTATACAAATTTGACACAAACTGCTTGATGTCATTAGCGGCTATGACTTCGCACATGGAAATACGCTTGGGGTATGCAGAGAAAAGAGATGTTTAGTTTGGAGTTCTCCATGTTGCCTTCAGCATGTCACTGGAGGCAGTCAGTCAAACAAGTCAACTGCCAACAAACGTCAACCGATAAGAATGGGTTTAAAGTCACGGAGTGACCATCCACAAGTCTCATTTGTTTTATCAATTGTTCTCTGTTGAATAAGTACTACGGCTCACTGGCAATGGCTGATTAGAAGCTAGACGTCTCAAGACACCATACAGTGAAGAGTCAGTCAGAAGAATGGGCTAGATCTGATCTGCCCTGGGGAAATCAGGATCAAAAGCAGGGCAAGAAAACGACGGGGCAACAACTCAGCATAGACCTCGGATTTCCAAGCCAGTGCTGTAGCCACGCACAGCCGGCCTGTGACTGATGTAATGAAAGCCAACACTCAATGGCGGAAGCACTGCTTAGCCCTCGCAAGCCCGGGGCCACGTGCACGAAGTCACGCCTACATCGTTTTATCAAAATACCACTCCGACCGGGTTCTGAGAGACTCCCTGTACCTTCCAGTGACAATGAGCACCATGTGAGAGACCGCTAACACGAAAACGTTTCATTGACGCCTGAACACATATTTTGGTTTAATGAGATTTGAAGCACTGTGTACTTCATCTTTAATGACCCAATCAAGGAAAAATAAAGTTTTTATTCAGGGCAAGAGGACCAGTAGACCTAACGGCCTGACATTCAGGGTCACCAGTCAGCCCCAGGTGACATGAGGCGTCCATAGCAAAGCCATCACATGTGCTTCACAGACACTCAGAAGTTCAGTGGATAAAGAAACAACACCAAACAGGCACAGATATGCATGATACATTTAACTTGTACAAGCCTCTCTGGGAAACGCACAGTGTTTTCTCTCTTTGAACGCCCTCTGGTGACCTCACAGCTGGCGTCCGCCCTGAGGCGCCATCACAGGCATGCCGCTACATTACCTGTTAGCCGAAAATACTGCACTGTTTGACTGAGGCTCATAAATCCCTGCATTTTAAACACTGCCATTCCATCCCTCAGCACCTTCCTGAGGTCCCGCAGCGGGAGGACACGGAAGGTGGGGAGATGGGAGGACAGGAAGGCGGGAGGACGGGAGGACAGGAAGGCGGGAAGACGGGAGGACAGGAAGGCGGGAAGACGGGAGGACAGGAAGGCGGGAAGATGGGAGGACAGGGAGGCGGGAAGATGGGAGGACAGGAAGGCGGGAAGACGGGAGGACAGGAAGGCGGGAAGATGGGAGGACAGGGAGGCGGGAAGATGGGAGGACAGGAAGGCGGGAGGACAGGAAGGCTGGAAGACGGGAAGACGGGAGGACAGGAAGGCAGGAGGACAGGAAGGCGGGAAGACGGGAGGACAGGAAGGCAGGAGGACAGGAAGGCGGGGAGATGGGAGGACAGGAAGGCGGGAAGACGGGAGGACAGGAAGGCGGGAAGACGGGAGGACAGGAAGACGGGAGGACAGGAAGGCGAGAAGACAGGAAGGTGGGAAGACAGAAAGGTGAAAAGATGGGAAGACAGGAAGGCGGGACAATAGGAAGGCGGGTCAATAGGAAGGTGGGAAGACATAAAGGTGAAAAGATGGGAAAATAGCAAAGTGGGAAGACAGGAAGGTAGGAAAACAGGAAGGCATCTGCGTGCGTGTGGGGCACTCGGTCTGGAGAAACAGGGGCAATTATCATGGGGGGGGGGGACTGACTCCTCAGGCTGTGCCTTAGGACTATAAAGCCAGAAAATGCGATGGCAGCAGAGGAGCAATAAAGGAGTGTGATGGAGCGGCAGCAGGGCACGAACAACAGGCTCCTGAGAAAGTGCGATGGGGGGGGGGGCACGAGAGACTGTTATGAAACAAAGCAGGGGGTGAGGGGGCTGATTGTCGGCACGGCAACCGGATGTGACGGCCGGATTGAAAGCATCCCTGCTTCTCCCGCATGCAGACCATGCAGTCATGCTGCAGGAAGGTACTACAAAGTAAGGCAGGGTGGGGCGGCAGGGTTGGGGGGGGGGGTGGTCACCTGGTCTGCGAGCGATAAAGTATACGGTGCTGCCATTAAGAGCTGGCACAGCGAGGTCACAGGCCCGCTCTGCCCCCTCGCGCCGCTCTAAATCCCCGCCAGTAATTATACGTTTTATGGACCGTCCTCCACGCGTGATGTGACCGATGTTCTACATCAGGCCCGTGCGAATGAATCCTTCCCTCAGCCGCGCAATAACTCCTCTCAACGAGCACCGGCGCCAGATTTTCAATAACGATAG